CACTAAAGCGGGTAAAAGGGAGATCTCCATGAATTTTAGGATAGCCTACATGTAAAATGCATCTCAGTCCTCCCGCACGACAATACATAAATGTAAAAATTGCGGGAGTACCTCGTATCCACGCAGATCAATCTATTTAGCCTAAAAGCCGATACGTAATCACACAAAACCTCTAAGTAACTAGGTAGCTCAACTTCCTAATACCCCACGTTTTTTCAAACAGCCTTACTCACTGTAGACGTGCCAAGTAGTGATTAGGTCGTTTCCGTACCTGCAAAGTGAGAGTTTATAAGTCCGAATAGAATGCTAGCTCCTGTTCAGTACGGGGTAGTTTTACCACGACAGTAACCTGAAGGGGCAGGCAGCTTGACGACCACGTCCAGGATAGGTTTTCTTGTGGAGACATGGCGAACTCTAATGTCCTTTAACTTTATTGGGGAAATTTACGCCGAATGCACGGAAAGAGACACCCTCTCTGGGTAATGCAAAGCAAAATTTCATTAGCATCACCCAGTGTTGAGTTGATAAGCCGCTCTAGCAAAAGCCAAACCACCTACTTTTAGCCACACCGAAATTGCATCCTTGCCTCTTCATTATTATCCTACTGTTGTCAGGCAGCGGGCTTAGCATTCGAGGCGCGATCGACTTGGGGTGGCCTGGAGTAATGGTCGGAGTTTCTAGAGTCCTAAAGTGCGCAGTTTCGAGCGGATTCGGCGTAGAGTTTATAGATAGTAACCGGCCGTATTGGCAATATGATCATTTGTGCAGTTGTTTTGCATTTCAACTTACTAAAAATGATGTCTGGATAATCTTATGCCATGAATAAGTAAGATGAGGCGTTATAATGGTAGATTTACTTGCTGGAATTGCTGACCTCTATTGTACTTGAGGATGGAAGAATGAAAGTCCATTCTCGGCGGTATAAATGTGACTTCAAGTTGAGGCCATTATGTCGAGCGAGCATTGCGAATGTCACGATGCTCGAATACGGCGAACAGGTGATAGAATTCGTTATTGGCACAGTACTTCGTCAACAAAGTCAAAGCCTTACTAGACTTGTGTAGATGTTTGATCAAATCCTGTGAGGAATTCGCGTACATTTGTAGGCGAATGTGTATGTCTGGGTGACTCACTGGTTAGGAATCGGGAACACCACAAGCCCTTGATGCTTGCGTTTGAGAGTCAAAGCGAGGCAATGGTAAAGCTGTTGCTCGCTCATGGTGCGGATCTCTGGGGATATTGCTCCAATGACGGACCTCTCGCATGGGCTGCCGAGCTTGGGAGGTACATTATGGTACAAATCTTTCTACAACACGAGACTCAGGCATATGAGGACAGGCAAAGCCATATGTTTAGCGCTTTGATGTTAGCTGCTGAAAGTGGTCATGGTGGAATAGTCGAGCTGTTGTTGGAAGATGGCGCCCTAGAGGGACAAGGTGCTTACCAATTAGCCTGGGACTTGGTAGAATGCTTCGGACATGAAGAAGTTATGACCACCCTAGACCCTTATCTTACAAATGAGGACGGCGATGGGAAGTAAGAGAAGACATTTAGCGGGGGGCTATGCGTAGTCACGATTTAATAAAGCAGGATTCGTATACACAACAGGCTTTGTCACCCCAAATTAGTTTGATTTGACACTTATCAGATTTCTAGCGATACATAGGAGAGTCAGGTATTTTGAGAGTATTTACGATGCTGACTAGCAGTCTTAGCCTGGACATCGACCAGGTTTGAGCTTGGGGCGTTATTCCGACACTTGTCGGAACCGTTCCCGGAACAGTGAATCTGTTGAACAACCCCCCGTCTTTGTTATCGGCTCCGCTTGAAAACACGTCTGGAACACGATTTCTCTTTTATTTGATTGGCCTTTTGTCTTTGGTCGACATATACTGGTTAGCGACAACTGTTTGATCGGCCTCTAAGTCTGTCTAATGACCGGTGTATTGTGCATCAGAACATCTTGCCGTCTTTCTCTGCAGGTTCCTACAACAGTGGGTGGCCTCCCCTCTTTCTATTATTACAGGTGGTACTCTCTAGGGTCGGTGACACGAACACCTCTTCGCTGCCACACGCCCTCAATGTTCATGTCCGCTGTTCCCCTGCATAAAAGTCAGTACTCGGTAGCGGTTGGCCATGAAACGGTAGTAACTTACTCTTCTCGCGGCACGACTGCTGGCTCAGTCTGTCCTGCTGTAACATCGGGGTTTCTGAACACAAAGTTCTTTTTCTATGTCGGGGGAAAAAGGAGGTCTCGGTCAGTGCGACTTCTTTTCAACAGTTACCCGTGGGTGTGGCCTCACCAGTCCCAATGATAGATGAATTGCTGGCGGAGTAACTACAATGTGCTCTGTCGGCTCTTGGCCGTTGATCATAGCCAGAATGTTCTGAGCGACTACCTTCGCTTGTCCAGCGCCAGGCCGAGCAGCCTTGTGCGCACCAGAGTCGGCAATGTCACCAGCAGCAAACATGTGCGGGTATGCTGGGTCTTGGAATTGCAGTGTCGGTCGCACTTTGATGAAGCCGTTTGCCGGGTTTACAAGAGGGATCTCGCTAGTCTGCTTGAGATCCTGGAGGAACTGGTTGTTGGGTGTTTGCCCCGTTGCGGGGATGATGAGATCCGCTGAGAGTTCACGACCATCTTGTAGCTTGACTGAAGTCTGGGACTCAAGACCGCCAGGAGGAATCACAGCCCGGGAGCCGGTGATCAACCTAAAGTAAAATGTCAATAACTATTGAGACGAGGAGGTCAGCTTGATGAGCATACTTGATTCCCAACTCCTCGAATCGAGTCTTGATAATCTCATCCAACTTGGTGTGGTAAAGAGGCATGAGATGCTCTCGCGAATGAACAAGAGTCACCACCTTGTCAGGGTAAATTTCCTTAAGATCCGTAGCCATCTGGACGCCCACCGCGCCGCCTCCGATGAGAATGACAGAAGACGCCTTCTGAACTGCCTGCTGATGCGCTCTCAAGGTGTCGACCGACGATGGCTTGTCATCACCGGGCATGGTCCCTGGGCTTGGCAATCTGGTGCCTGTTGTGACAACCAAATAGTCGAATGGAATCTCTCCTGAACCTTGCCATCCTCTATCCAGAATGACGGAGTTGGGGCCGAGAGATTCGGCGCGGGCTTGAATCACCTGGTGCCGCGATGGGTCGGATGACTTTGAGAAAGCTGCTGTGTATGGAATGAAGGCTTTGTGCTCATGGTCTGGCAGGACTGCGAAACGAGGCTGAATCACGGTTTAGTCATAAATCACAACGGCGCAGTGCCAATACTGGCAACTCACAAATGCGAAGAGATGATGAAAGTGGCTGTGCGGTTCAATCAGCAAAATCTGCCGCCTGCGAGTCAGTCGTCACTCTTTTAAATGTTAATTTTTGGGAAGTTCACTCACGCGGTGGGATGCTGGCAGAGCAGCGGCAAGCTCGCCCACAGCGGCCTAACTCACGGCGAGCTGTTAGCAGTTATTCTATAGGCAATAGCCCAAGTACAAAGAGACACTTACAAGACCGACATACGATCCTCCGAGGACAACAACGTTCTTCAAGGGTTGCAGCATCTTGATTAGTCGGGCAGTAGTTGAGATATCCGAAGTCGTGGGGTAGAAGTGTGAGTCTTGGCAGCTAGAACAATTGAGTGTAAAGCTTCGGTTGCAGGACACTTCAGCTTTAACAGGTTGTGTTTCACTGTGAAATCGGAGCCCGACTCGTATAACGAGACTTGCGCTGTGGGTCAAGTGCGAGTTGACAGTGTGTCGCAGTCGCCCTACCGGCGATGGCTGCCGCACGGATTTATGATTGCAAATCTGATTAGATCTTTCCCAGCACTTTAGAGACAGCTTGCATTGTCCCCCACTTTACCCGAGTCACGTCCGATTTGTTCGGAATTAGTGGCGGAAACAAAGAGTCGGAGCCGACTTCGCCGCCGTTGCCGATGGATAACATAAGGACGTGCTCGAACTAGCGGGGCCGCACCGGCAATTAGTTACGGCAATTCAGCCAGACGGCGTCCTTAGCTTAATAGAACATTTATATACAATCGGCCTCCGCCTTAGGGCCTAGTAACCGAGTTCAAATAGATTAGAAATAAGGTTTTGCTTAAAGTTGTTAAATAGATATAAACTTCTTCTATTAGTAGGAAAAAACCGGATTAATTTTGAGCTTGTTTTCATTGACTTCCATCTAGTTGAAGATATCGAGGTTGTGGTGTTGAGGCTGGAAGCACCCCTCGCCCATTTCAACCCGCTCACCTCAGGAATAACACTCCACGTCCGGAACCCAGGCCCCGTAGGCTTGAGGCTGAAAGCGGGTGACGGGATCTCGGGCTGACGAGATCCCGGTCCCGTGACTTAAGTAGTCTGAGTACTTTCGAATGATCTTTTCATAGTGGAGAAACCTCGACTCTGGAATCGATATCTGCGGCGAGATGATGGTAACGGAACTTTCTAACTCATCAAGTTCATATGCCTTGGCAAATAGGTCTCCAGGATACACGCCTACGCGCGTCGACGCGTTTAGATCATTCATATAGCTTGAAGTCAAGACTCTCTAATAAAAAAAGCAAAGTTGGCCAATGAGATAGCGTGATCACCACTTCAGGTTGAACCTTACTTTAGATATTTTATTGGGAAGACTCTTTCAAGCGAAAGTGGAATGAGGGATTATTGCAGGGGTTGTCAGCCAATGACAATGCAAAACGTCCACTTTCGGTGAAATTGAGAGAATCTATCGAGGAGCAGTTAGACAGGCAGGGGTCATTCTGTGCATATTGATGAGTATGACGAATGAATGGCTATGGGGAAAACCCCCATATCTGTATAGTGAGTGTATGATCCCCTTGTATAAAGATACCCTTGCTAGCCTTATTCATACTTCTGATTAAGCATGAGTTGGGTCGCTTGAGTCGAAACAAGTACCGCAACGAATGTCCTGGGGCAGTCTGACAGAATCTATAGAGATGTAGCGCTTTCTCTGTGCGGGATAGTTCAAACATCTAGGCCTTCATCTCGATGGCTTGCCCGGCTTTGAACTGATATCCCATATCTGGTTGGGCCTGGAAGAGGGCGTGCTTCTCTACCTCGTGCTCCCTCAAATCCATATGGAGGCAGACGGGCATCGCTGCGATGACTCCTGCCTCAGGCCAGAACTCGGGGTCCACCTGCACAGAAGAAATGAATTAATTGACAGCTAGGCATTTGATCGTGTGCACACGTACGGTCTTGAAGATATGCTTGTAAGTCGCAAGAGTGAAGTTGTACAAGGCCCCTACTCTCTCGACCTCCGGTTTATCCTCCATGTCAAGAGGCTGGTGGTGAATGAACGCGCCATAAACTGATTTGCAGAAGGTCAAATATTCCTTGGTGAACAGGACATGCGAGTGCCTGTGACATACAAATTAAGAATGGTACATCGACAATATCGTCTTGACATACCAGAAGGGGTCGACCGCGCGAGAGACGGCATGTCTATTAAGAGGGTCCAGAAGAGCCACAGCATAGTAACGCTTCAAGTTCTCAATGCCAGCTTTGAGGTACCTGCGAAAATGATGAGATATGGGGATGAAAGCGACTCAATTGACTTACTTGTCGGAGAGAGCATAGTTGTATTCCTCGGATACCTTGCGAAGAACAAAGGAGTAGTCAGCCTTATCGATCTTCTCCAATCTCTCTCTGTGATAAGGAGAAAGTGTGAGATTGAAAGACTCCAAGAACGGCGATGTGTATGACATTCTGTTGTTTGAGCTGCGATCCGTTTCCATTGTGTCACTGATTCTACAGATCTGCATCAACGGATATTCTGTTCAAAGAAAACTGTTTGAGAGACTTTCTAGATCCTAATTGCGCTTTTGAAATAGTAACGAATTACACTCTCGTGATTCAAAAATATTCCCTAAGAGACACGGGAGCACAGAACAGAGTCTTAATACACCTCAGCCGTACCATGCACATAGGTGGTTTAGGGTTAGGGTTAGGGTTAGGGTTAGGGTTAGGGTTAGGGTTAGGGTTAGGGTTAGGGTTAGGGTTAGGGTTAGGGTTAGGGTTAGGGTTAGGGTTAGGGTTAGGG